AAGAGCAACCCAAGAGTGGGTGGTGGTGACTGCTAAATTAAGCAGTTGTTCACTGCTGAATTAATAACGACTAACGCAGATAGCCCTCGTGTAGTTTTGCGCGAAATTCAAAATTTATGCGGTTCCTGTAACATATTTGTTTGAAATTGTACACATAATATTATTAGAAGGTCTGAAGTTAACCGCATCAGTATACAGACACACATTCCGAAGTTAATTACTTACAGCAAACTTCGCATCTGTCTTCATCACTGTTATCTCCACAACCGTCCAGTCCACTACACAGAATAGCTGTTGATCTACACTGCCCACTGTTACACTGGAAACTTTCACTGGGACAGTCTTCACCTGGTGGCAATTATTGATTTAAAAGTTAGCAGTTTTACCAACAAATGCATAGTTGTTACGACAGTTAGAAATGAATAACGACATAACCATACAACAATTATGTACTTACCCCAAGAAATAAAACCCTATGATTTGGGTTGTTGTTAAGCACAAATCTCTGCCAACTAAGGGTGTCGAAACCCGATTTTTTAACTTTATAATCCTGCAAACTTACCGCTGAATCACTGGGGGGGGGGGGTCTGTTTCTTACTTGATATATAAATGTTGATAACTAATAAGAACTACACATTTCTTGAGTAATATCAACATGAACCCGTCAAACATGAACAAAATTATAATTCCTACACTTCTAAATCAACTATCTGCTTTTAGTCCAATGGAAAAATATGATGGACAGTATCACTATGTAGATAGGGGAATATCATGCTGTCGTTTCACTCGCTAACGAAAAGGATAAATAAATTACTTCTACGTTAACCTGTTAAACAAACCTCACACTCTCGCTAAGCAGCAGCGGTGATTTACCACTTTTATAGATAAACAAGGGGGAATCCTCAATAGCCGCGGCTCTTGAAATCATTTTTGGCAGGATTAAAGTAAATTAATGAATAAGACCTTTTTTTTTTCTTTCTTTTCATTAGCTATATTTTTGTGCGCCAGCAATACCAAGTGTGGGGCGCGCGTATACCCGATTCGATTTTATTACTCATCTGGAATTCTACCAGGATTTCAAATTAATCTATTTGACCTTGGGCGTAGTCAAAAACATCAATTGAAAAGATTTGACCTCCTGAGTCCAAAATTGTAATTAGGTCTCAAATCGGTCAAGAGATAGGTCGATATCAAAAACACCATTTTTTTTTTGTTGTTGCAAAGTGCGTCAAAAAAAGTATAACTGCCATTTTTCGGTTGCTTAAAAAGAAATGTTGTTTACATCCATTTTCAGTTATTCAACCAGATGAAGGAAATTGTTTCATCGTCAACTTGATTTGTTTGCCAAACTTCATATATTTGAACCTGTTTACAAATGGGACAACTTAGCACCATCCACTATACTTATTGGCCATGGAGCAGGTGGAAGTATGCAATCGGTTTAACATGTTAATGATTAATTATATCATTTGTTATTATTATTATTGCTAGACAACCTAAACAGTGTTTTCACTGCGGTGGGGCAGTGGTATGTCTAAGGGCTTACAAACAACGCTAAAATCCTGGGCTCGATTCCACGTAATGGACACAGTAGATGTGGCTTTGTTCTAAAACAAACAAACAAAAATGTTTCAGTATGGTATTGTTAGACATCATTTTTTTTCTGGCAAGTAAAAATGTCTAAAGATTTTATCCATGTTGTTTTCCCTATTGACCTCTACGTAATAAGAATTGATGCTACATATTTTAAGCTAAACACCTACCTTTGAAGCACATAGTTTCGAGCTCATCGCTTCCGTCGTTACAGTCGGTAACAGCGTTACATAAAATATACTGTGGAAGACACTGGCCACTGGCACACTGGAAGGAATACTTATCACAAGTAATGCCTATAATGAATCAAATTTCAAGTGTTACCAACACGTCAGCGTTTGGCTTAGAATCACAACTGAATAAAGCTCATAATTCATGTATGTTTTTATTCATCTCATAGATAGGTAAATTTTCTTATGTATAATATAATTATTAGGAGGAATTCATAATTCATGTATGTTTTTATTCATCTCATAGATAGGTAAACTTTCTTATGTATAATATAATTATTAGGAGGAATTCATAATTCATGTATAATCTGATTCACCTCATACATAGGAAGACTATATTACATATACATATCATTTTAGGGGAATAAATAATTCATTTATAGTCTGATCCATTTTATACACCGGAAACGAATTAATAACAAGTGCAAAATCGAAATTTTATGCAGTTTCACGAGTCTTTGATTTTAGAAGGGAAGATGATATCGACCTGTTAATCCCATATCCTTTATCTAAACTAGGCATTATTTAGTTTGATTCTAGAAGGTCGATATCATCTTCCCTGTTAATCTCATATCATTTATCTAAACTAGGCATTATTTAGTTTGATTCTAGAAGGTCGATATCATCTTCCCTGTTAATCTCATATCGTTTATCTAAACTAGGCATTCTTTAGTTTGATTTTATACATCCAAGACATTTTAACGATATCATGCGATAGGAGTAAATCCAACATCAATATAACAATGTCCTATATCACTACTGTTTCTTAATTAGAACAATTATCTCGAACATTTTTAAACAACACCATCTTACACTTGTTCGTGGTACTTATCCCCTCCAATCCAACCATATATTGTGCCTGTAAAGAAATACATACGATATGCCAACTACAACTAAATTCGAAAAAAAAACTGTAGCGTTTCAGCCATACATATATGTAAGAAGACAGTAGTTTAAATTTTATTTGAGATATTCCTTATTTATCAGGGAGGTCGGTGCGACTATTTATTGAAACAAACGAATAGAAATGTGTGTGCGGTAATTATTCCTATCGTGATTCTTCCAGCGCAATCTTCCCAGGGGGTGCACTGAATTAAGAACCGAATCCAGTATTCATATGGTAATGGCGTATGTTACTATAGCTTCTGACTTGTAGAATTTAGCTGTAAAGCATATCAGTATTGTTTCTTAACTAGAGAACTGATCTAGAGAAATATTTTGAAACATGTCAGGTTTTTCTAGAATATTCTAATGTGAACCTCACTTTTGATAACTCAGAAAACCCCTTTTTTCCTTTCATCAGAAATTAATCCTGTTGAATGGATAACACATCAAACAGTTTTGGGTTTGTGCCATTGAATTACCACTCGTGCCTTTATATTATTTTCACGAAATGTGTTAACCCTAAAGACTCAAACCCGTTTTAACTAAAACAATTTTGTTCACGTCCGTTATGTAATGTTTTATCTTTTTATTTTCACCTTTTACCTTTATAGCATCTAGCTTCATCACTTCCATCTGGACATTCCCACTTTCCATTACACACCAGTGATCTGGAGATACAGGATCCGTTGTTACACTGAAAGGCTTCTTTTGGACAGTCTAAAGTGAAAAAATACAAATATAATATAAATAGTATAAGTACTGAACAAATTATTTAAAATAACATTAAACAATATGCAAGAACTAAAATAAAGAAATGCTTCTGTTGAGCACAATGTTGCACAATGGATTATCTGCGTTGTACCCGCCTCAAGGCTTGATCTCCACATTTGGTATTATAAGCTTCAAGTCTAAACAAATCTACCTTCGGAAAACTTCAAGTCCATACAAGTCTACCTTCGGAAAACTTCAAGTTTATACAAGTCTACCTTCGGAAAACTTCAAGTCCATACAAATCTACCTTCGGAAAACTTCAAGTCCATACAAAGTCCATACAAATCTACCTTCGGAAAACTTCAAGTCTATACAAATCTACCTTCGGAAAACTTCAAGTCCATACAAGTCTACCTTCGGAAAACTTCAAGTCCATACAAATCTACCTTCGGAAAACTTCAAGTCCATACAAATCTACCTTCGGAAAACTTCAAGTCTGTACAAATATATCTTCATTTAAATCGTTTCAGTAAGACGCAGCTCCTGTCGTTTGTTATTAAGCACAAATGCTATCTGTGCTTTGCCCACTACGAGTATTGAAACCCGGTTTCTAGCAGTATAAGTCCGCAGACATACCGCTGTGCCATTGGGGGAGGGGGTGATAAGTGAAGTTCGTAATTTCATTCACGTAAGCTCCAATGTGCCAAAAATAACGATCCCCCTAATAAACATACGAATTTAAACCCAAAAATATAACATTTTCAAAATATAAATGCACGCTTAATTTAATTTTCCAATTCGTCATAAAATGTAATTAAACACTTATGGGCCAAACTTATTTCTATATTACTCATACACATAACGTAAGATATGACGCCCCTTCGTTATATATATATATATATGAGAATTTCTTTCAAAGTTAATTTATGTAGCATATTCAACACGTTAACAGTTTTTCAGTAGATTGTGCTGACTTTTCTGTGGACATTTGCACAGGAATTCATGTATCATCGTTATGGAAACCCTTGTGGTAAACTTTTCTTTTTTCTTTGCAATTCCGGGTACAGTCCGGTACGCTAACAACTGGGCCACGCCTAGCCATTGGCAATATCACTCAAAGATAAAAATATAAGTATTGGACTCAATATGAACGTTGAAATTTTAACTGTTCCCTGAGAGAGATGAATTTTTTAAAACTCAATATTTGTACGGATAAAAGAGAGAGAAAAGAAGGTTTTTAGAGGTTTCTAGTAAATTCTTCCAAAAGCAAAATAAATTTTCTTATACTGGTTATTTAATTTTCGATATTTTAAGTGATAAAAGTACTTTTAACTTTAGCTGCTTTGCTTTCATGCCCATTTACAGCTACACCGTTTTACCAATAGCATCTCAACAAAATACTTTAAGCTAATAATAGCCTCTTCTCTATTGAATTTACGTGAGAGGTCCATGGTACACCATTGTTTAGAGCTTATAACTTTCAGTAGCTATAACAAGCAACAGGATGTTGGAAAGATATCGTGAAGAGATGAGCGCACATCCCTTTAGTGTGAAACGGTTATCGTCCCTTTAGTGTGAAACGGTTACCACCCCTTTAGTGTGGAACGGTCACCGTCCCTTTAGTGTGGGCCTAGTCCCTGTTAAAGTAGTAACCTCGCAGACAAACAAAATATAAAATATAGCATGCTCTCCTGAACATTTGGCTAATAAAGTGGTACCCCCCCCCCCCCGCCGGTGGAAACATCAGATATTACAATGTGGTTTGGTCCAATACCAACAAAGTTAAGTTAGTACAGTATATATCGGCACTGATAATTTAACATTTTTAATGATACTCAAATTGTATATTTCACTATTTTACAATGCTTGTCGTAAAACCTTATGAGTGTAGTGTGTGTTGTTATAATAAGCCTAAAGTAAAGACGTAGTGTGGAATCACTTAACCTAGAACCAAGTGCATAGAATTTATCGTGAAAGTAAAAATATCGATTCAATTTTAAACATCAATCGATTCTGAATTAAGCTATTTTCTGTTATATCGCTAACGTTTTTAATAAAAAAATAAACCTTTTTAATCAACGGAGACTCTAAAAGAAGTCAACAAATATTTTTCCAGTTTTATTGTCTATACATTTCATTTTAAACTTTCAGTACAGAGACTAACAACAATATTAGGTTATAATATTGTTGCTAAGCAACATGACATAAAAGCGATTTTTGGAATGTATTGTTAGCAAAACATACTGGTTTTTCTATATATTAGAAATTGTTAATCTAACTGATTTTTACCAATAATTATTCTATGAATATCTCACGAATTCATTTCATGAATTATCTTAATTTTGAGTGGCTCACAAAGGAATTTACCGACTTTTGAGTGCCTCGACTGCACTTTTCTGCCTCTTTGTTGGTCAAGCTTGATTTCGCAAAATCTATTTATTTCGGTTAATTATGAAATGTGAGATTAGGATATAATATGTGGTGGAGGTGTAAGTACTTGTCCTGCCATTTTTGACGGGCTATACGCTAGTAAAAGTAATATTAGTAATAATGGTAAAAGTTATGTTTCCACACCTGTGTGTGAGTGTGTTTGTCAGCAAGATTTCTCGAAAACGGCTGAATGGATTTGGTATACATTTGAACTATGACCCAACTTAGAAATGGAGTTTTTGTAGGGCCAAGGCTAAAGGTCAAGGTCACAAAAATCTAAAAAAAAAATCCTATCTGTTAACATGGGGACCGAATTTTCACACTATTATTGCTCTATAACTCTGTCAAAATGATCGGATTTTGATGAAATCTGGTGGACATACGTAGAGTATTATTCCTCAGTGTACTGCAAAAAAATAGTCCGTATCCAATCAACGCTGCGTGGCGGAGGTATACACTCTACTGAGTGTCCATCTAGTGTGATGCCTATACAAATTCTCTTTCCTATAGAAACTTATGTAACCATTCAAGATCAAAATATTGAGACTCTAAGTTTGTTCTTCACATTTAAAAATAATTATTTCTCTCTTAAAGTTATTCATTTCATTAGTTGTTTTTGTGGGAACACTTACTGTAACTTATGCATTCATCTTCGTCACTTCCATCAATACAGTTTCTTTGTCCATCACACACAAAGAACCAGGAAACACACTGACCATTCCTGCACTGGAACGTGTTTTGATGACATCCTGAAAAAATTCAAATTTTTAATATTGCTTATCGGTGCGAAACCTTATCACAAGAACTATAGCTAAGTCAAAGAAACATTTAGAAACATTTAACAGTTTCGATATATTTAACTTGCACCCGAAAATTCATATAAAACACTAGCGTTTTGTACAAGCTGGCTGTCTTCTTCGTGGGCGAAGGGGTAATATGGTCCGCCAATTGAATTCGCTAGGCCTATATTGTATGTTTATTTTTAATGTGAATTACCAATCTTTCTGATCCTAAGAGTGTATTTCGATACTAACATGGGTCTACCTAACTTAATAGGATTTTTAAACTCTCTGCAGGTAATGCATACGATTAAAATACTAGATATTCGTTCAACTAAAATGCAGGCACGCTTTTAAACAGGAACGTTAAAACAAACTGAGGCTCTGTGATATGAAACTAAGTTCATTTGCAAAGCTTACAACAAATGCAACGGTATAACAATTCGTACACTTTTAAACAGGAACGTTAAAACAAACTGAGGCTCTGTGATATGAAACTAAGTTCATTTACAACGCTTACAACAAATGCAACGGTATAACAATTCGTACACTTTTAAACAGGAACGTTAAAACAAACTGACGCTCTGTGACATGAAACTAAGTTCATTTACAAAACTTACAACAAATACAACGGTATAACAATTCGTACACTTTTAAACAGGAACGT